TTGACTCCGCCATCAAACAAGGCTTTGAAAACAAAGATCAGCCAGATGATGACTCAGATGAGGAGATCGTATTCAAGGAACCGATTCTCACATCTATGCATGCCGATTCATGTCAGGTCGCCGGGGTTACCTACCAGTTGAGGAAGAAGGAGGATGAAAGCGATGTCATTCGCATCTACATGGCGGAAGAAGACATCCCTCAGCTCACTGGTGAGGCGCTCAGGAAGTTCCGTGAGGTTACAACTCTGGGGAATGAGCCCGACCTGGCCAACAAGGCGCCACAACCGAGGATCCCAAAGGCGAAGGCATCAGGTGAGCCGAGGGCGCCAAAAGTGCCAAGCGAGACTGCAAAGTCGAAAACAAAACCGGCATCACCGAAGGCGAAAGCACGCCCGGCGGGAGCTGAGGCCGATGTTGAAATGAAGCCAACAGAGGAAACTCAGCCCAAAGTACCAAAACGCCCGGCGGGAGCTGTGGCCTCGGATTCGACCCCGACAGCAAAACCAGCTGTCAAAGCCAAGGCCATGCCTCGGGCACCACCGGTGCCTCCCGTTTCGTCGCCTCTTGGGGAAAACGAAGTTGTGGCATTGCAGTCAAGATCGGTTCCGGGTGCTGCCAATTTGGCGAACCTGAACTCGAAACAAGTCTGGATTTCCCGACGCGTCTCGGGCTTGCTCCGAGGGTGGGAGCATAGTAAACAATCCTGGCACAAGGTGCAGCCTCCGAGCTTCGACGCTGGGCTGTGGATGGATTTTGGCAAGGTGTACTCGTTCATCAAGCGGAAGTACGATGTCAACCTTACCAACGATGAACTGCTGACGGTCATTACATCCAATCACAGATTCATGCTCGAGGTGAGGATTGCGCCAAAGGGGACTTTGGTCGGTGGAAAATACCAATATACACCTCTCCGGATCAAAGCGATTCAGAACCATAATGAATGGTCAAGCAACAACGTGCAGGACGCACTTCCTGAGCATGAACGCTTTGTCACTCTCGATGAGGAGTATACTTCGGTGGAGTACCTGGCCGGCAAATTCCCTCGGGTTCCGCGAGGTGCGCTGGGAAAGGTGAAGGAGGTGGCCCCCACCATCCTCTATCACTACACGCACCGGGCAGCACTGGTTGAGATCATCAACATGGGATTGATTCCCGGCGGCGATCGAACTGGAGCCAGGTTCACATTCTTGACGAAGGAAGATCCGTGGACAATTTCGGGCACTGACTATGCAGCGATGGCGGCGACTCGCCCCATCTGCGTTGCCTTGGATCTCCAGATGATGATTTTGAACGGGCACCGGCTCATAGAAACAACTGCTGGTACAATCCTATGCCCTGACTGGCTGGCAAACCGGAACGTGATTTACGTGTATGACATGGAGTCCCGATGCTACGCCTTCGCGAACCATGTGTACGCACACTATCGCGGCATCATTACCGGTGAAACAAAAGCCTTCAATTCAGCACGCACTGGGGGACCAGTTGCCGATGACGATGAAATGGTGAAAAGCCCACTGGAAAAGTACACCTACCAGGTCCTTGGTGACTATGAGAGGTGGTGTGGTAAGGTGGACACTTTTTCCCCATTCGTGTACGGTGAACTGTTTGAACGCCCAGGCGTGAAAGACCAAATGATATCAGGAAGGCAGAATCCTGATTTGGAAACATACGAGGTCACGTATGTCGTTCGCAGGCCCAATTTCAACGCCTATAGGAACCAGGTGTCGCCCAAAGAGATGCTGCCCAACTACAACCGACCTCGGTTTGATTGGCGCAAGATCCACCCCGAGACTGAGGGTTATGGCAACACTCGATGGATGGTCGTTGAGGGCATTCAGATGCCAGAAGATCAGTGCCCGACATGCACAAATACCTACACCCATGGCATGATGTCCTGCATCACGTGCGGCACCTTCCTCAACAATGCCTCGGATCTGTGCAAAGCTGCTCAGCTCATTCGGATCGAGGAAATTGCAGCCGATCTCGGTATCGAAGTCACAATGGACATGGTACCTGAGGACAGGCTGCAAGGAACAGGTGTGAGGAGGACGCCGGCGGGGACGCCTGGCCATGAAGTTCAACGTGCTTCTCGTTCGGGCATCAACATCTTGAAAGCGAACGCCAAAAGCCATGTCCAGAAGGCGGACAAAATGTCCATGACAGTATCGCAGCGACAGCTGACTGACGCTTTCTACGCGTTCAACTGTGCAGCCCAGGACCTCTCTCCAATCTGCATTCAATTCCTGGAACGACTATCAGATGCCATCATCCCTGACCCTCCGAGGACAAGGGAAATGATTGCTCGTGGCGTCGGTCATCGATACGCTGGTAAAGTCATCTTCCTGAACGAACCAGCAAAAGGGAATGATGCTGACCTGAGCGAGGACTTCTTCATCTATTGGAAGAACAGGCTGCACCGTCCTGAGACTTTCGCTGCGGACTATTGTCAAGGTGCGAAACGCCCCGCAATCCTGGGATTTGGAGGTGAGTGGCGAAGTGAGAAGACAGACCCTGATGATGTATTGGATGAACTCCTGGAATTCGTGATGGGCGATGCTCAATTTGTACCTGGCTTGGATATCAACCTTGTGAAAGAAACAAGGGCGCTTGTGATTCCCAAGGCCAAGGCCGCACCAGGTCCAGGTGAAAGTCTGGCCAGAGCAACACGTACTCAAGCCGAGACATCAGAGCAACGCTGGCGAGGAGCTGCCGGAAGTGACCAATACCATGATTGGCAGCAGTCATCCTCATCGTCTTCCTGGTGGTCCTCATCCAACCGCAACTGGTGGCAAGATGATCGCGGTCGTGGCAGTGACTGGCGAGGACATGACTGGTGGAGTCAGCGCAGGTGGTGAACACGACGCACAGCGGGAGCTGTTGCCTGTGGAGAAGAGAATGAAATCTACGGGTGACTCGGCTGTCTTTGTGCACTGTGTTTTTCCCTCAACGCACCGCGGGAGCGGTTGCCTGGATGACCGTTTCTGTGATGCACCGGGGGACCGGATGCCTGAAACCAGCAGCTAATTCGTTTGAGTTCAGGTCGATGAACTTGGCTCTCAATCCTTGCAATGAAGAGCGCACATCTTTTGTTGTGCTTTGTCGCCACGCGGGAGCGTGTGCCTTGATGGCTTTGTTCCTGCTTTCTAAAAGGTTGGCATTGCACTCCCAGTTCTGCTGCGCAAAAGAGATTATCTTTGGGAGCTTGCTTTGAACTTTCATGCATGAATCAGTTGAGACATGTTCAACCCTAGCATCAAAGCATGACAGTGCATTATGTGATCCGTCCTTGAGGTCAACCATCCTCTCCATCTCAAGGCGCATTCCGGTCCGATGCTTCGCACGTACCGGGGGACCGGATACCTTCGTAGGTCCTTAATTAGTGCACTGTACATAACTTCACTCCTCCCATTTTCGTTCAGCGGGGGGTGTTGTTTCACGCTAGGATGTCGTATACATGTCTCACTTACCGTTTGGCTCAAGGAAAACCAGGTGCGACTTGTTGGTAGTTCTCGGTCGTTTACCTGTATCTACAACAGTGAATTGGTGAGAAAGTGGTGGGGTGAAGTGCCACCATGCAGATGTGTTCATGTTGTGGGCTTGGATCAAGTGACTTGTCGGTTTGATCCATAGGGCTTGGATCAGCGCTCTGATCCATAGGGTTTGGATCACTCTCACTGCAGCGCGGAACGATCCATACCAGGGTTTCTGGCCACACCCATATCATTTGACATGCACTTCACGTGCATTTTACGAAAGGCGTGCGATAGTCACTAGCATCCCCATGTGCTCGGGAGACTGTTGAGATGGTCTGCCAACCGGGTCTGTGAGACCGAGTAGAGAACGGGACAGGGGAGACTGAACAACATGTGCAAACTCCATCTTTACACCTATTCATACGAGATGCCCTTTTTCCCGCAAAAAAAGACATGACAAACAAGGGTGCCCCACACTAAGGTGAACTAATGAGCTGACCAGGTCTATGAATATATACAGGTCGAAAATCAGAGAGAAAAGACTGAGTGCAGGCAAGAACCTGAAAGTTTTAAACTCCCATAGGAACAACATTCCGAATACTCAGCCTGTTGATATCAGATGTTTTTAATTTGCCCCCTCTCAAAATAAACGCGCAACAAAAAAGGGCACCCCACATTGAAGTGGACCTGACCAGGTGTGTCCATCCAGTTGGAGGATGTTTGAGGACAGAAGTGGCGAGACTCTGTGCAAGCAAGGACCTCTAAGTTCTAAACTCTCATAGAGACAGCGTTCCGACAACTCAACAGGACATTTGCAGGCTTCATCATTACGACTGCGTACTTCATATTGATATAAGATCTCCTTTTTGCTCTTTGAAATGGCTACAAACAGGAACACCCCATACTGAGGTGCGCCCACCCGGTTGTGTGACCAAGTAGAGGACAGTTGCTTGGGGTGCCCTTTTTGACCGTGAAAAGGGCTCTTAACCAAAAGAAAAAGGGCACCCCCCCCCCCAAACTGTCGATGTCCGAGAGAAGAGCATAGAGCATAGGATCCAATTTTATCGTATGACAAGCAACAGTGGATAATAGTTGATCAAGGCCTTGTGTATATACGTTCTGCTCGATGCGAAACTTTGCGTCTCTTTGCCTTCTACTTTCCCATGGCCAACAGCAGTAGAGATAAGTGCAATTTCCACTTTGTATCAAACCTTGTTGGAGATCTGGGACATCGAACAATGTTTGAGCGCAGCCCCCTTTATTTTTCTTACTGCGTGATAGATTTGAATTGTTTTACTTTGTTCTTGCAAACTTCGAAGAGCTTTCATGAACAGCCCGAGCCTTGCCTGCTTCTTTGCATGCAGTAGCTTCCTCGCTACCACCTCCCTAGCGCGAGTTTTACGGCCTCCCCACTCCCTTCTCTATCAACGATATATTCAAGTATCTCTTGACTCTATATTGGATCTATTTAGCAAAGAACCTTCTTTTTTTTGGTCTTCGGTTTATAGTGCAAGGATGTTCTCTCAGGTTCATGGGGACCTGGTGGACGAGAAAAGAGAGTCAGTTGGGCGCATCCGCCTGCGTCGTACCAATGGCAACAGTGTGCTCTCCAATGTGAAGCTCACAGGTGCAACCACTTGGAACGCCATTAGGTTGGAGGTCATCACTAGTAGGTTGGAGGCCATCGCTGTTAGCCATTGGCTGGTAGTTGCTTCGTGATTTCTGATCTAAAAACAACTGCCAGCAACTCACGAAAGCACTAAGTGAACCCGTTTGGATGTCGCAGCTGTGCCGGCACAAGTGAGTTCAATAGAGATTACTATCGAGCACTCTGACCTGAGTGCATACTGAACCTAGAGAGCTGCAGGGACTCATCGCGCTGCCCAAGGCGCTCAGAAGGGACACATCTTTGTCGCTGGACCCTGCCAAGACGACCCATTTCCGCCGAGGATCATCTTGGAACCAAGCCGTGAATGTCTCAAGCGGGACCTGTGTGACAAATATGCACAACCTTTCATTCAGATCCATAGATTAGTCAACAGTTTGACAACATCGAAGAAGCTTTCTGCATGGCTGTGTGAGTAGCAGAAATCTTGCAGTTTCACTTTTCTGCGATGTGTAACCATTAGCATAAACGGTGGCTTGCCCGAGTATTGCTGGTAGGCAACTCTCCTTCACCTTTGATGATTCGCATTCCAAGCAAACAATTCCCATTCGATTTGTGCTTGGTAGTTTTGCCTTCAACTAGCAGGCACAATGCCTGGCTTTCGCCAGCGATCCAAAAAAATACAAAAAGACGACATGTCGCATTCGCACCATGGATAGTTCTTTGCAAACACAAGTGACGTATGACAGCTGGAACGAGAAAAAGCCTTGCCAGGAGTGCTCTCAGAATCCAGTTGGCTTGCCACCGAGAGAGTCAGAGCGTAGAGTCGAGATGAGGTTTTGTAGGACCCATACGTTCAATTTTGAGCAGCGGTGGTCGGTTTTTGCCGACACATATCCTTTGATGTTTAATAGACATATCTCATGATGAGACTGTCCCGATTTCCCAACAAGGAAGCTGCATCCTAGCGGATTGCCAGGACGGCTGGAAACAACAAACATGTTTGGTTGCACATATCGTTGCCAACGAAGCTTTCCAGATTTTCCAGATGGGTCGCTTCTGGCGATTGATCACCTAAAACACTGGTCCCGCAATCAGAATCTGGAGGTTTGTGCACAAAATATGCAAGAGATGATCCTACGGCCGCAACGACAGGATCCTTCTTCAACTTGTGACATGCCCTCTTTGGCCTGCCGTTGCAAGGCAGGCAACTGTCAAGACATTGTTTGTGGAAGGCGTGCCTTCCATCACAATCAAGGCAAAGATGTTGAAGAGCGTGCCCTTCAGCTTACCACCACTCACTGTAGGAGCAGCAGGAAAAAGAACAAGACAGTGGGAAAGAACTGCAACAACAGCACCAACTCCCACTCCAATACCGACATGAAGGAGCGTTCACAAGAATTTTCCAACAGACTGCAGACTATCCAATGGACATATTGGGGTTTGGCCTCCACGTTTTGCAAAGCTGTAAACATTTTGGTGATGAGTCCCAATTGTCATGAGATCAACCTTATCCCGCCATTTTTTTTCAAGTTGGCCGCAGTGAATGACAGGCTGGCAAGTGCAACTACTTTGGGCAATGTGTGGATTCTCACCAGCCCAGTCTGTTCCAAATCAACCCAGTGTGAAGCTGAGTGCTAATAGTACATGTTCAATGAAAAAAACTCAGATATTCAAGGCCAATCATTCCCTCGGTCACAATCATAGTGCTTGGGGCTCGGTTTTCAAGAATGTCAAGGATGCATCTTGCATGGGCAAACACGGATCCCAGGGCATTGCCTGCAATTGCGTAGATGTATCCCAGCTCAGGGCGGAAAGCAAGATTGGAGTCTTTGTCTGAGTGACCTCGACCGCCACATGGAAGCTTTGCCATGGTTGCGAAATGTCAAAGGCTTCAACGACATCATCAACTGGTTCAAGCGCATTTTCGGTGGATCCACCGAAAGGCCAACATGGCAAAGCTGAGTTTACTGCTGAACAAATCTTTCCACTGGTAGGTGCAAAGGCATCGTGGACAGCGGGACATCTTCGCAAACGACCCACTTGCAAGCTTGAGTTTAAGTGTACGAGGGTCGCACTGCCACCACACTTCAGGTTGGTCCTCCCAAAGGATGTGTTCGACAATGTTTTGAATGCTTTAAACAAGGCCATGCCACAAGATTTCCAGGGATTCCATCCAATCATTCATGATCTGAGATCACTGGCATTGCCACTTTCGGAGGTAGCTTCAGCTTGGCAAATTCGAGGCTCATGCCTATCACAGTTGTAGCCTAAGCTGCCAAAGGTACCGCTTACAGCTTATGGAACAGTCCAAATGAAAGCATGGCGCAAGCTACGGTCTACATGATGTCTAAATACCTCTAATATGTCTACTAGGAACAAGTGCCACGCTACTAGTAACAGGTGCCTTACATAGTAACAAGAAGCTAGTAGTAACAAGAAGCTAATAAATACCTCTATTATGGTGTCAGCATGTCTATGTCTCGAAGCAGAATCTAGAGTTAGTGTGGACCGCGATGGAGATGGCTATTTGTTTTGAGGTCTGAGGTGGATCTATTTCCAGATTTGATCATCCGCTTGGATTCTGCAACTTTACAGCAGCCTGTTCTAGCCTACAAGTCTTCGTATTTTACTTTGGCAAGTCCAGATAAAGAATTGACAAAGGCTAACTCTGACCAGCCGTTCTTTGACCTGCGAATTCCGCCTAGTACATACTTTCAGTCTCGGCCACAGACAGATGATCAATGTGCGTTTGTCAATTGTTACAGTCACAGTGCAGGTTAGATCCTGGTGCTACATGCAGAACTCTTTACATAAGGCAAGTTCGTCAAGTGATCTGCTGTTTTCTGCGAGAATTCCAGTGGAAATCATTGGCAGATCCTCTGGAACCCTCAACGGAGGCCTGCGTGACGTTTCACTGCTGCGGAGCGAGTGTCTGATGATTGATGTTCAGTCTGGACTTGATCCCTTAGGTTTGGGGAATATCCCTGATTACATTCTTGGCCAGCCACTGCTGGAGGCTGTGCTTCACGGAACATGACTCACTTTTCAGCAGCTTTTGCTGTCGTGAAAGCATTGCAGGCGTACTACACAGTGTTCGACAAGGAGAAGCGAAGGATAAGCTTTGCACCATTGAAAGGTTGCTGAGGTTTATCACAGCCGAACGTGCTGAGATTGTTTAGATTTGACCAGACTATTGATTATGTTCTTGCAATGGAGAGCTGACTCGATAGCTTTGAGAGCTCTTCAACATGTTCGACCACTTTGATCACCAAAGTGTGGCCAACAGATGTCAACTCCTTTCTAGACTGCCTTGGTGCTGCATAATTTGCAGACTGAGACACAGCAAAGATAATGGATTCGGCAATTCCTACAGATGATTAGGATGCCTTGTTAATACCAGAGCTGCATCACACAGCAAAACCAACGAATCCTTTGCACTGTAGTCACTATATATGTCATAATTGTTTGACCCGGCAAATGGTCCACACAATCACAGACTGCTGATGCTTTGCGCGTTGCTTTACTCTCAAGGGCTGAGTGCCCGCCCGCTACAATGTTAGCACCAGCGCCATTCAGTGCTCGCATGGCATGGAGCCCAGAAGGCATTCCATAAACAATATTGGCAGCAAAAAGAGAGGCGTGTGAATGTTGTTCACCCATTGAGGCGTTGGCAAACCTTCTCCTTGCTGTCTCATGCACACTTACAACAGGCCGACTGCCAGCATGCTTTGCTTCGCACTCCCGTTAAGAAGTCTTTCAGAGCTTTGCTTCGCTTTGACAGCCCACAATTCTCTATTGTCGATTCATCAGGAATTCATCAGGCAACACCGTGGGAGCTGCGTCTTGCGTGGGCGAGCTTAGCCGGCTTAGTCTTGTGCCATCTTAGATTTCTTGTGCAGTTGTTTCTGAACAGAAAGCGCCTTTTTTGCAGTTGTTTCTGAACAGAGAGCTCTTGCAAAGCCTTAAATGATGTGCTGCTGTAATTCAGCATGCCACGATTTGCTATGAGCTGTATTCAGGGCTCTCAGTGACATCCTTCACTTGGGACAGCGCTCCACATTGTTGAGCGGACCTTAGCTGGAGCTTGGGAAAGCTGATTTATGAAACTGCAGCCCCATAAAGCGTTGCGGATTCACTTCTTGAAATGCTGAAGAATTGAAGGAAGCGGGTTCATTATTCCACTGCTCATGGTCATAGCAGGCAAAGAAGCTCCTTTGTGAGGAACCTCGATTACTTGATCAAGTTCAGGGCCAGGTTCTTAGACTGTGTAGCACGGGAGTAAGCACAAGCTGATGGCAAAGATGCAGAAGGGCTCGGATTTGCATGGTCGAAATTGTTCCTAGATTCTCAGAGAAACAAAGCAATTCGCCAGGTGTGCAGTGCCTATCCTGCTGACGCTCCTTTTGAGGTGTTGCTGAACGAAGCGAGTACCTTAATCTTATCACACAATGCGGTCCATACCCTTTTTGGGCCTTCCTCCGCAGTCCAATTCTGTACCCAAACTCACCTTCTCGAAGATTGCTGAACGCTTCGGGACTTCCAAGAATGGAAGGTCACTATTCAAAAGGAACTGGAGCCGGTTCCCAAGCACCCGGACTTGCCGCATTTCGACTGAAGAGCCGAAGAGCCAACCGTGTCAATCAATTAGGTATAAGTCGTGCTTTGAGTACACTGGTGACTTACACCCTGGTGACAATGTGAACTTCAAGGCGCACGACATTGGGATCATTGGGCCATATAACTAGTAGCTTCTTGTTACTACTAGTAAGGCACTTGTTACTAGTAGCGATGCACTTGTTACTAGTAGCTTCTTGTTACTACTAGTAAGGCACTTGGGATCATATGCTGCAAGACTTCCATGCAGTTTGTTTTGAGATTTGAGTGTGCAGGTGGCAGGCCTCGCATCAGGCTCGTTTACCATCGACAAGCTTCCTCAGGAGGATGCTACCTTGGTTTTGGTCGTCGGCTCACGAAGGGCCTAACAGCGAAGGGTGTTGCTTGAGATGTTCTGATTTTGAGATGCGTTGAGGTCGTCTATCGCCACGACCGAGCCAGCATGGCTCTGTCTTTCATGCTGTGATCTCAGACATGTTTAGTCAAGCTTTCCCGCAAAGCGGAGCCTTTTACTGACGATCATTTGGAGTGACACTTGGATTCGTTCCGTGGAACTTGAGGTCACATGTCTTTGCAAAGCTGTCTGGCCCGCAGGTAGCCTTGTTGGATGCGTATCAGGCCTTTAAAAGCTGTTTCTGAAAGCTACAGTCAGAATATCCTGTAATGGATGCGGTTGCAGGGCACGGCATCCTCACTTGTGGAGATTCAACCAGAGGCCTGAAGGGCTGGTTGAACCCTGAAAGATTTGAAAGGTGGTGAGTTCTCATGAAAGAACACCAAAGCACAGCAGGATGAAGAGGAGAGCGCTGAAACTTTGAGGCTTCGAAACCAGATGCTGTGAGATGTTTTAGCTTGGCAAGGAGATGACAACCCACCAGCAGATACGGACTCTTAAACATTGCCTCCGAACGGTTTTTTGTCCAATCACATTGCATGCAAAGGTAATACTGGTCAATTCTGCTTGCGTAATACAGGAATCAGTTGGTCATGCTGTGAGGTTCAACTCCGTTATGGCGTTGGATGAAGCTAGATATAAGGCGGACTGCAGACATCTGCTGCAGACCGTAGGCTGGCTGAGGGTTAGCCGGAAGCTTGCAGGTTTTGCTTCATGTGGGAAACCACAAGGAAGAGGCACGAATTTGATCATTAAGACCAGTCAACCTCGAATCTATTGCCCAATGGTCTACTGATGCCTGTTCTATTCACGCACAGTACGAGTTGGACGCGCAGCGCCAAGCTCAGCCAGTCCCAACTCCAACATGTGGAAGGCAACACTCAAACGACCTACGATCGAGACCAGAGTGAAACGTACCTAAACCATCCTAAACCCGACTCTCAAGATCCGATCTATCTCGCAAAAAGCATCAAAAAGCAACACCTGGCGGCTAGTATCGGGTGTCACAGACTGAGGTCTGACGAAGCTTATGCCATCATTCGGTGTGGCTTGCCACTTACAAAGAGGGCGGCATTCAAGGGCTGCTGAGACATGCTGAGACTGGCCCCCATGCCCTTCCTTCCCTATTGTCCTCTCCCGAAGCGAGGGAAACTTAGATACCTGGCTCGCAGAGAACCCCCAACGCATCCATTCACAGCTGATCGCTCTTTGTCCAACAACGCGCAGAATCCGGTGCCAAATAAATATGTCGAGCTAATCTCCAAGTCCCTAGTCTAGAGATGCCAATGCAGGTTTTAAGGCTCTACAATGCTCTACAGCCTTGGTCTGTTTGGAAAGCTGTGAGGGATGACTAGCATTCTACAAAAGAACGAAAGATAGCCTGCAGAAATAGACTAGAAGCTTTATGTGCTCGTGTAGTCTCATGATAGCACATGCACATGCTCCGCATACGTATTCATGCATTGGTGACAACGGGTACTTGTAGAACACTTTGCGCAAACAGGTTGAACACCAGTGTCTATGATCACGAAAGATCACGAAGCGAACGAAGGCCCTCACTTTGCTTTGACTCTGTTCGTGATAGATCCACAAATGTGGTGCTGCACCACCAGATGAATGTAGAATATTCACGGGTTGTGCCGTTTCACTTGCCGTCGCTCACCATTGCCTCCACTTTCACCACTGTACCGACTTCATTGGGGTTGTTCATGTGGTCCTTTTGCTATTTTTCCTCCTTCTGTGGCTCGCAGTTGGCGTTCATCACATGAACCCTGGTTGTTCGCTTAGCAGGTCCGACCTTCGCCTTTGCACGATGCATGTTCTTTTTTCAATGGTTTTTGCGTGGGCACCTTGAATGTTTTTTTTCTTTTTTTCTGGTGATCTACCGCTTCCTCGGAAGTGTTTGGAGCTTTCGCCTCCACACAAGTTGAACATATTTGTATGTGATCGAAAAGAAGAGCTAGAACCGCTTCCCACAGCTACTGTACTGCAATCCCTTTTTCTTAACCTTTTTCACACCGTCGCCCCACGGTCTTTTTTCCCAGCCCGTGTTGGCATCCAAATCACACTTTAACGATCTTAAACGTCTGCACCTTGATGGGTGATTCGGAACTTGGAATCTGTTGGCACATTGGCTTGACTCAGAATCCTGGATGGCAAGGCAATGCACTCGCTCCACGAAAGCCAGGTCAAAGAGATGTCGTGCTCATGTTCGTTTCAAGCATACAATTGGAGTACAGTACTCAACTGTGATGCGTTGATGAGGGTTGGGGTTGGAGTGGGACCAATGTGACGTTCGCTGTGATTTGTATGGAGATGATGTCAACCATATTATTTGTTTGCTGTGACCATCGAACACTGTGTGGCCGGAAACTAGCACAATCAGCCAGAAATGGCCTAAAAGGACTACGTAAACAGCAAGGAGTGACAAGCAGCTTTGTGTTCTTCATGCGCGGCAGCACCGGTGGACGAATGCGCATTCAAACTGAGCCGTGCTGACGGCTATGATTTCGCGTGATGCCACATTTCCACATTTGCAAAAGCATTGCCATTGGCCATTGTGACTTAGAGTTGTGCCCAAATCGAATTGCTTTTGCTGAAGCTTACTGCTGAATCTGGTTTTGCTTGGTCTACGCTTTCATTGGTCACAAGTTTCACCGAAAAGTTAAACCAACGATAGAGCAGTAGTTTGTTGCTGTTAACTTGACAAGGATTTGAATGGATAATTTGATACTCGTGCTTTGACAAGGTGTGGATTCGGAGATATTCAAGAGCTTTAAACAGGAGTCCAAAGGTGTTTGAAAGCCGATCTTCAGTCCTGCTTTTGAGTTTGCACGCTGCATTTCTTAGAGTGAATTGATTCCTTAGCTTTTGTGAATTTGGCTCAGTCCGCTCGGCACTTGCTGGACGAAGCTTGCAAAGCGGTCTTTGAAGCCATCCCATGAGTTGCAGCCTACTTGGAGATCACTCGACTCAAGGGGCATTGCCCAATCAAAGGCCCAAATAGTGAAGCAAAAAACATGCCGAAGGCCTTGGCACCAGAAACAGATGCGGTGCTTGGTCTCCGTTCTCGTCGGCGGATGCTTTGTTTGTATGGGACTGATGCGCAAAGGCAAAAGCTGAGCAGAGCAGCCAAAGCTATGTGTGTGCCAAAACAGAAACGCCAAAGCCAGAACCCAAATGCATTGGAAGATCGGCAAGAGGACTCTCAAGCAGGGCTTGCTATGGTTTTTCAGGTCCTTGGCACCCTTTGGTCACAACAAGCGTGGGGCTGTAGCGGACTTCCCTTTGCTCTTTCAAAAACGTTTTTGACCATTTTCCAAAAGGCAATTGTGGGTGGTGAACCCGCTGCTCCACTTTGCTTCAAATGCTCCATCACAGACAGGCTGCAGAAGGCCTTGAGATATTTGAGAAAGACTCAACTTGAAGTTGAGAAGAAAAGCGAAGCTTTGGCCGAGCAATATGCTTTGGCCAAGGAGCGCATCAAAGACGCGCAGTCCAGCGCACAGCTTGCAGCGAAGTTGGGGCTTTGCACTGGAACATTGGATGGGAGCCCAAGCTCACTCGTGGCCTCAAGCATATCTGCATCTTTTGTAGGACAGGCCAGCTCTCCAAGTTCTGGCTGTTTTTCTTTCAAGTCAGCCTAGATGCTTTGTATATATTGGCAATTCACAGGTCCCAGAGGTTCCTGGAGAATTTGCGACGTAGATGGACGTTTTGCTGTCAAATGCGCGGCAAACTGCATACCTCCTGTGACAAACAGTGTGCTTCGGATCGAAGAAATGCAAGCCATGCTAAGCTGCTCGAAATGCGACAGCTCTCAGCCATTTTTTGTTCTCCAGGAGTTGGTGATATATCCCAGATATGAGAAGAGCACAGAGGACTGGAGCTTGGCAGTGCAGACAATGCTCACAAAGCTTGGTAGCATTGTGGCAATTCCTGTTTGCAACCAGGACAAGAAACCGGAGAAGGCCCGACTGCCGCATACTGGGCCAAAAAGGGTATAGAAACTGCTCCAGCCACCTTACAGGGCGTCTTGTGGATCTTGTGGTTAGGTTGTCACTCGTTTTGAGTGCCAGAGTTTGTTCGATTCTCCTTTGGGGAGGCTGCTGCAAGCCCATTGGCTACCAGCTTAGATTTTCAGTGGGTTCACAAGTTTGCAACATCATTTGTATGCCAAGCCCAAGGTGTTGTCCTTTGTTCTCCTGGTTGGTGCCGTAGCCTATTTGTGAGCTGGAAAAAGAAGGGGAGCCAGTGCAGCTCTACTCTGCTGCTTTCGAGAGTCAAAACTGCGAGGAGACGTGTGAGTGGAGAAGCACATGTTTGGGCAGTTGGGACAAGGTATATATATATATATGCTTTTCTTTTTTCAGAGAGAGTTTATGTCTTTGTGTGTTTGTGCAGCTGTATACAAGGTGGCTCAGGGCGGTAGGGCGGTCAATTTAGGTGCACCAGAATGTCGGGCTCAGCTGAGCTTGCTTCAGGTTCGAAGACATCTGAGGACCAGAACCGTGGGGCATCCGCCTTGCTGGCAAAGATCACAGCAGACCGTTCACCCTCACTGTCAGATCCGAAAGTAAGTGAATTTTTTCGCACTCAATTGTGGGCACCAACTGCCCAGGCCCCCGGATCTTTTCAAGACAACGTGCTGGACAAAGCGGTTGACCTGGTGGCCCCGTCAAGCAGTGCGGCGCCACCACAGGATGACAAAAAGACAACTTTGCACCCCAAGCCATCGGGTGTCAATGCAGTAGAAGACCCGCCTACACCAGTGACTCCCAGACGTAGCCCAAGATTGCAGCAGCCAGCAACAACTCCACCGCCAGCAAAGAGAAATCGGTCCTCAGCAGAAGATGCATCAAAGGACAAAAGGCAGCCCGGTGCAGTTGCTTCGCCACCAGCACCGAGCCCCGCCAAATCACCTTCTCCACTGCCATTGCGGCCCATTTTAAAGAAAACAGCAAGCAACAAAAAGGCGACCAAGCCTTCAAAGACGATCGCGAAGAGCAAAAAGGACAGCAAAGCCTTGGTGGCTACAAGCGGAAATGACCTGCATCCATCAAACTGGTTAGTTCTGAAGAAATTGCGAGAACCGAGCCTGACCAAGCTTCCTGTTAAGATCTTCACCAAACTATCGAAGTCATCCAAAGCACCGACACGCCCGCAAAGATGTCGGGTGCCACCACTACAGGCTTGGCGGAATGAGCGATTGGTTTATGAAAGAGTGGCCGGCTCCATGACACCTTCGGTTGCTGCTGTGGAGCTGGACATGACGCCACCAACCGATAGCATTACTCCGCCTCGAATGCTACGGCTTCCAGCCCTCCAGCCTCCACTGGAGGATTTGGACGCAGTCGAGTATGTCGGGATTTCAACCAGGCATTTGACAAGTAAGGTGTATGCCTTGCCACTGGCAAAGTCCACAAATGCACCATGCACAGTCGCTTTGGAAGGAAGTGGCATCATCCATGTTTTTTATGGTACATTGCGGTTTGCTCAAGAGGGTGCAGAGGAGCAGCTGGTGTGCGCAGGCTCCACCATGTTGGTGAAAGGTCCAGGAATGAAGCTGGTGGCACCTGCTTATGCAGCAACCTATGCCGCAGAAGTGGGCATTGCAGGAGTGCGGTTCCGTTGGGTAGAGCGACACAATGCCTGAGTACAGTTGGCAGTGGAAAAGCACTGGTGGCAATGTAGGAGGTTGAGCCAATGTGCAAAATTGCAATTGCATCACTCGGCAGAGGTGTGAGGTCGGGCTGAAACAAAATTACCAAGCAAATCCAGGTATATAAGTACATGGAGGTACGAATGCTTGGAATTGTTCGGAGAGTTTCACCATAGAATGGTCCTTGACCACACCTTTGCAATGTAGGCAATCGAGAGCTCCTTTCAGCAAACAACGTGTACTAATATGCAACTTATGGTGCGTTGCAGAATCCTTGTTAAAACTTAAAAGCAACAATTTGTTGATTCTACTTTTTGGACCAAAGCTTGGAAAGAATGCTCTTTAGTTGAGTAACGTCCTTCTCAGTCTAATGCACCTGTCCAAAAGAAGGCTTCCGACTTGATGCTGAGCGTTTGTTTGCACTGCAGTACATTGAGCCTGGAAGCAATTACATTTGCCGTCCCGTGCGCTTGTCGAACAAATATAAGTAGACTGACTGTTTCAACACAACAAGCCGTTCCTCATTGGCACTCATAGGATCTCAGAGCGCCCACATAAATCACTGCACTGCACTGCAGTCAATACTGCATCCATCCCTTTGATGGGCAGCCTGCCTGCAGATGCCTGCAGATGCCTCAGATCTTCACGGTGAAATGATGTCAGTGCATAAATAGAATATCACGACGCCAGTGAATCTTCAAAAACACATGAAAGAACTCTTTAGCTGCATAACTCCTTTCAGGATGGCGAGCAACCAAGCTGTGGACCCAGTGACAATCAAACGCGAAGAACAAGAGCATGAATGCTGACCTGAGGCGAATGGTTTAGTAGCTTCATCGGATAGCATGTCCAAATCCCAGACCAAACTCATATTCCTCATTCTTGCAAGATCATCTAGTGAGGTTGGCAAAGTGCAGCTTCCTTGAAGAAGCCGGATTTGAGGCGCAGCTGAACACCGAATCGACTTCAGCTAAATCGAAAGAACTCTCATTGTGCAGGGCAAAGTCCGAAGGGCTGATGCTGCAAAGACGCTGCCAGAACTCAAGGCGGAACCTCCAGAAGCCCTTTTGCACGCTTGATTTTAAGGATGTAGTGACTTCATGACTAAGGTTGCTGCAGAGACTGCCAAAGAAAGTTCTGAGCTTTGAGCGAAAGCAATGGAGAGAGGGAGGCATTGAATCCACGAACCTGGGCCAAGGCGGAGATGCACGTCTTGAGATTCAGCTGCAGAATCTTGTCGCTCGCTGCCACTTGATCCTGGGCGATACTGTCAGGGCCTTGTCCTCTCAGAAGGTTCGGAAAAAACTAATGGAATCAGCGCTTACATGAAAATCCGTGATTTACATTGTGAAAGACTGACATGTTGCTTACGCACATCACAAACTTGTGTGTTGTGTTGTGTGTGTGTGTGTGTGTTGTGAGAGAGTGCTGCCCACATGAAATTTTGTCAGGAGACGGCCATTGACTCAGCTGCTACGGCATTGAGTGGCGCGCAAGAGCTGCAGGACATTTGCAAAACAGGGTTCGCTTCTAGAAAATCCAAGAAGCAGATCTCATCACCAAATCAGTCTAAAGACTTTGTCTTCAGGATGGAGCTTTGGAAGCAAAGCTGCATTTGACTGTGATGCCCTCATCCACAATCTCACCTAGCATAGCTTGCACAGCTATAGCCATAGCTTGTTTGATTCTTTGCAGGGTTTGAGGATTGGGCACATGTGAGACATTTTTCAGGCCCAATACGTGAAGCAGTTTGAGCATTTTTGAGCCCAGGTGTCTCGAACGCGGGTGAAGCAGCAAGACTTTGAAGCAGCTGTGCAGGTGTTGGGGTTTTAAGACCTTTGGACCTCTTTGCTCCTCCTTTGGACCTTCAGTCCATTTGTTCCTGCAAATCTCATGCTTGCGTCAAAATGTTCTTACTTTTTTACATGTTCGACATGTAAAGTGAATGCCAGGCAGTGCGAGAGGCGGCGGCAGTCTTGCCCTTATCGAAGCCACTCTGAAATGCCCACACTCCAGGCCATTGCCATCTACCAGCAACTTGGAGAAGGTAGAAGTCAGGCAGCAGCTTTCTACGAGCCCGTCTCTGAGAGGTAACTGCTTTGATTCTAGCTTCTTGCTACTAGTAGTAATGCACTTGTTACTAGTAGCTCCTTGATTACAAACGGCAAAGTTGTCTTTCTGCAACTTGATGCGGTCAGGAAGCTCTTGCTTGGCTTTGCTTGCTAAGGCTTGCAGGGATTTGCATGGAATCTGAGTACGGCAATTTGAGCGAAGGGCATTTAGCTGCTGACAAGGCCAAGCAAGTGCACATGCCCGGGGACACCCAGCATTCAATGCAAAATTCGTGTGGTGTTTGCATGTGTTTGCCCATTTGCCCAGGATCCCTGCAAAAGAATTTGTTCTTCGTTTGCGTTTGTCGTCTGTCTGTCTGTCTGTTTGTCTGTTTGTCTGTTTGTCTGTCTGCCTCTGTCTGTCTCTGTCTGTCTCTGTCTGTCTCTGTCTCTGTCTGTCTCTGTCTCTG